TGAAGGGCCAAAGTTTCCCTCATGCTGGCTCAGGAATTCTGGGAGTTGAAGTCCACGAGTCATGAAGGGCCAAAGTTTCCCTCATGCTGGCTCAGGAATTCTGGGAGTTGAAGTCCACGAGTCATGAAGGGCCAAAGTTTCCCTCATGCTGGCTCAGGAATTCTGGGAGTTGAAGTCCACGAGTCATAAAAGAGCCAAGGTTGCCTACCGCTGGTCTAGTAGTAAAGGCACCAGACTAGAAAGTTCTAGTCCTGACTTAGCCATGAAAGCCAGCTTTGGGCCAATCACCAGGAGACCGGGAGTTCTAGTCCTGCTTTAGGAATGCCAGCTGGGTGACTTTGGGCCAATCACCAGGAGTTGGTAAGTTCTAGTCCTGACTTAGCCATAAAAACCAGCTGGGTGACTTTGGACCAATCACCAGGAGACCAGGAGTTCTAGACCTAATTTAGCCATGAAAACCAAGTGGGTGACTTTGGCCCACTCGCGCTCTCTCAGCCCACCTCACAGGCTTGTAGTTGTGGGGAAAACAGGAGGAGGAAATCGCGCTTGGATACGTTCACCACCTTGTGTTGTTTGTCAAAAGAATAAAAGCGGGATCCCAATAAATAAAATCTCATCCATCCATCAGACAGGCGAGAATCAGCTTAAACCAGTGTTTCTCAACCTTGACAATTTTAAGGCATGTGGACTTCAACTCCCAGAATTCCACAGCCAGCATTGCTGGCTGTGGAATTCTGGGAGTTGAAGTCCACATGCCTTAAAATTGTCAAGGTTGAGAAACACTGGCTTAAACGGAAACGTGTCTACTATAACTTTTGCAATTTTGCAGCATAATTTCAAACTTCGGCAGAGAGAGAGAGAGAGCAAATAGTTTTATTGGTGTCTGCTCCTGAAAAAGGTCAAATACTACTCAGGATTCTTTCTGAGATATTCAGACAGTTTGGTGTGAGTAATCCACTTGGTTAATCAGTTTGAAATTTATCGAAGGACGGAATGCCTTGAAATTTCTTCCACCTCCTTCATCACAGGGATAAAACAGTTCATTACGAAGAATTTCCCAAAGCCCATCTAGTGATAGATTAAATTCAGCCCTTGGGAAAATTAGCCCATGCCTGACAATGTAATTGCCCAAGTAATTGACAATGCCTTTAATATAGTTAAAGGACAACTTGACCCGCAAAAATGGAAGGACTCTTTGATTCCCACCATGGACGAATGGCTACAAAAGTTGATGGAGCTGGTTGAAAATTTTAGAATGTGCAGAAATGGATAGACGAACCT